TTGCCGTCGTCAGTGCCGTGACCACAGAGACGACTTATATTATTATAACATATTAGACCATTAGTAGCCTGAGATAAATAAATAAAATATGAAAAATTGAAATTCACAGTCCATATAATTTTAATAAACAGTCAATTTTCGAATTGCCCATTAAACAATCAAATTGTCCCCCTGTGAGGCGTGGGTCACGTTGGGAAACACTGTACTAGTCCGTAGTTCGAATCGCCTACCAAAAATCATTTAGCATACGTTGAAGACGACAAAAGTCGACGGTATAATGACTCCATTAGCATATTTGTTGCATTACCAAGCGAGAACAATTGCTAACAAAATAGCCCTATAGCTCGCTTCGGACGCGCCTCGAGTAGTTGTAGTGCTGTCCTAGTATCGACTATCGATACCGTGTTCATTGCCAATTTTTCATTAATTTTTAACTGATAATTTGTACTAATTAAATGTTTTCGTATGAAGTGCGTACCAGGTAGATCAATTGCGTTCAAAATGAAGTTTGAATTTATGTTTTTTCTCTGAGAGATTTGGGTAAGTTTTGTTTATTTATAATTAGGTTGTGTTGTCAATGTGATACTAACATGTTATCTGGCTTATGATCGATATTCTGCTTTGCTACGGTAGACATTGTAAAAAGTCGTCAGCGTGATTGTTTCAGTCGCCAAGTAACTTGCTTTAGAAGGTATGTTTCGGTAGCAATTCTCAGTGAAGTTACAGGATATAGAGGCGTAACATCTTAATGTTGGTTACACGGATGTTAGATGACAATATAATGTCCGTGATTCTGATCATGTATTTAGTAAGGGTGGTAACCCTTACCATCCTACTAGCATCCCACTAGCATCAGATAAGCCTTTAGTTTGCTTGCCATCCCAATTACATAGAAAAGGTAGTCTCGCATTTTTTCCCGGAAAAGATACACCAATCAATCCATAGCAACAGTAATATCAATTTGGTACATGTAAATTATCTTGTGCTTTATTTTCGCTCGGGTTAATTAGCTGTATGAACTTTCTAGTTTTGATTGTGTTCGGACGTAACTAGGTTGTCATTTGACCAAAACCTGCATGTTGCAGAGTACATTGTGCTCTTATCACTTATGCGACTGTACTGCCTTGCCATCCGCTCCAAAATGTTTTTTTCCATTCCCATTATCCAACGACTTGAAATGTATTTTTAACCATTTCATAAGACTGTTCGAAATAGCTCTATATGAACATAATTAATTATTGGAGTACTTATATTTTTTGTAATTTATATTATCAACTTATTTATTTCTAATAACTTCGCGCATCTGCTTATTTTGAGATAAAAAATAGCTATTGGCGTATTCTCACATGAAAGTTCTTTAATACTGTTCAGTCTCAGTCTTGAAAAGGTAACAAACAGAGATATCGACACATTGTCCTATCTATAACTAATTAATATATATAAACTAATATATAAATACATCTTTTTTTAGCTTAATACAAATAAATGGCTACACTTTTTTAATTCAAATTTAAATAAGTGTATAATTTGTAGCTCGTAAAAAAGCAAATCCTGTTATGATATCTGCAAAACAGCGTTTATAACTTTCTACGGATAATATTTATATGGCAGTCTTGTATCAATCTGCATTGTTTGATATATATCATATCATAATATACATTATTTAAACTGTAGGTACCTACTATTTGCTACATATAGAACGAAACGGAATTGTTTATTATTTTATCGTACAAAAAACGTGATAAAATTATCGTAAAATTATATGACAGCTGCTACCAAACTGCTGTAGATTAACATCGTGTAATGAAGACTATATTTTAAATTATTGGTTTCACTTCAGTCGTACTGGATGGTGATTTTGTTTGCGTTTAATTTGCAATCTAAATTGACTCTATTTGTTATGAAAAAAAGTTTAAATTTATTTAACAAATATCGATTTGACAACACTAGTGGGTGACGGCACTGGCATCGGTGGCAGTGAGCTCTTGTTCGATTTTACTTTGTGCTAAACGTACACTATAGCTGGCTATTGAATGGAAAATATGAATGAATACAGTCATGTCGATAATCGATTGGACATCACTGGCAGTGGACACAGACATCGGACTGGTGCGGTCGTGTTTGGTATTTCATATAGTGCCGCCGCGTTCCGTGGTCGAATGTTAATGAATGGAAAATATGATTATAATAGGTGAGTGGTAAACTGTTTTTCCTCAATAATAACTCGGTGTTTTACGAGAGCGATTGCGCGCACAATGTATTTCCAATGATTTGTTGTTAATTTTTATTGTGTTATTTATAGCGGTGTTAAAATAAAATATGCAAATAGAGTTTTTGGTCGGTTGATGTAGTAATAAGCGGGCGCACTGAAACGACCAGTCATGAGATACGTGTATTTAAAAAAAATGTTATAAATAGCACTGGGATCTTTTCCCGAAGAGAGGTAGGCGTGTTTGCTGTTTTGTATTGTTATCAAATGTTGTGACATTTGAACACACTGTCGTGCCACCGCTACTGGGACCCACGATATAATTGTAAGAAAACGCGCTATGTATCACAATTATTTTGAGAAGTGTGACCAATAGGGTTCTATGTGTGAGTGGAACGAGACATGAAAGGATTTTGTCATTTCTATGTCTCTTCACTTTGCTTTGTCTCGCTTTGTCAACGTAACATTCGAATATGTTTTCGTGGTTGCACTGAAAATGTTATTTCATTTTTGTAGCTAAATATTAAATGGATGAAAGATTTGTTGTGTCCATCGTCTATTGAGTATGGTATATGTTATATAGCATTCTTTTGTACATTGATGCCTTTTTCATCCGGTCTACTAATGTACGGGTATTGCTTGTAGGAAATTTGAATGCTCTGAACACTATGACTGATTTATTTTTTTACTTTACTTTTTACCGACATCTTTAATAGATTTAATTCTTGTGAATTTGTACTATTTTGTTCTATGTATTTAAACAGATTATTACAAAAACTAAATGATGTAGAAAAAGCATTGTTATTTAAAAGAGCAGCGGGCAAATTTCTTGCTTATTCCTCATGCCTGAATATAAATTTCGAATGAGGAGAAAAAAATATGCAGAAAAGAATAGACAGTGTTTATTTCATTATTGTGACTTTGCTTACGTAGACTTTCATCCCCTATTTCAGATTTTTTAGATAAACCAGTATCTCGTGATAAGATTTATCTTTAATAGTAAATTCCATTAAGATTCGTTCAGCCGTTTAGTCGTGAAAGTTAACAGGATAAGAGGAAATTACGGGATAAGGGGCATGATATCTAGACCCCTGGAATAGCCACGTAAGAGTGGTATCAAGAGTGTCAGATGATGACATGATGCCCGTAGGACATGGTCTTGTATGTACGCGACAGTTACCATTTACCATCAAGACGGTCAATAGCTTGTTTACTATTACAATTACATAAAAACAAACAGAAAGACAGACAGACTATTATTTAATACTAGCTGTGCCCGCGGATTCACTCGCGTGAAATTTATAGCCTTTATGTTATTCTAATGAATAAGGTATATTACTGTAAAGTGTCATCGAAATCCGTTCAGTAGTTTTTGCGTGAAAGAGTGACAAACATCCATCCAGTGTAACAAACTTTCACGATTATATCTATATTTTTTATGAAATAACCTAGTATCAAAACCGCGAACTCCGGAGTTTGGAATGGATGGATGTTTGTTACTCTTTCACGCAAAAACTACTGAACGGATTTCTATGACACTTTACAGTAATATACCTTATACATTAGAATAACACATGGGTTGTAAATTTCACGAAATTTATAGCCTATTAATTACAATACATCAAAGTATTGAATTTTAGTTACGGAATAAATTTCTGAACGCAGTGTGCGTTTGACAGGTACGAACAGTTTGTATGCGAAAATAAAATAGTTTTACTATTTTCTTTGCAATTTCTTCATATTTCCTCACCACTTAAATCTTCCTTGGAGTTCTACAAATTTTTCAAAATCAAAATTGCCCAAATCGGTCCAGTCGCTCTCGAGTTTTAGCGAGTCTAACAATGTCATTTCATTTTCTTTCAGATTATATACCTCATGTTATACAAGTATAATTAAAGAATTTTTAAAATATTCTAAGTATATGTTTTCTTTTTGTAATATTAATTTAGATTGAGAAAAAAAAATTTAGTCTCTTAGTTATCAGAGAAATAAACTTAGTACATATATATATATGAAGGAATTCCAAAGCTATGTATAGGGAAAAGAATGCTTCTAACATTTCCTAGATTGACATTCTACAAATCAACAGGACTCGAAATTGCGTTTGTCCTTTTATATTTCAGAATCAAATACTTGTAAATATTTTTGTTGTTTTCTATTATTTTTTGTATTTATACTAGCTGTGTCGTCTGCATAAACTTTTATTCCCTAATTCACCCCCTTACTACCTGTTTATTGTTGCTGCAATATAGCAATGATGACCATATTAAATTCTAAAATTAGCCTACCCAAATGTGTACATTTGTACGCAAACAGACAAAAATTGTTAAAACTGTTAGTTTTTGTTTCGGTGACAATGTATAAATCTTTCATGATTTATTAATGTTCATTGATAAAATTAAAAATAAGAGTGAAATAAATATTAAAACAAATAAAAATAATTTAATTAGTATAATCACTAATGAAATGTAGCATTAATAATGTATCGTTACGATAGTTATCAAGGATGGGGTAGTCAGAGGTATAGTCAATGTCATGATGAATACAACTTTGCGTTGACAAGCTCATATTTTGCTGGATATATGTGACATATGTAACAACCCGAGTTTACCGTTGTCTCTGTTAAATTTTTGGTTTGAGTGTCAGCCCGAAATATAAATTGACACACAATTTTTTTGATGTCGCCAAGTTTCTTATGGTTATGGGTTTATGTCGGAACAGTAACCACTAGCCCGTGCCTTGCTTTCAAAGAAATGAAACGTCATTTTTATAATGTATCGTTTGTTCATAGGTGGGCGGCGTGGTCGGCCATGGGGTGCTTTGGCTCACCAGGAGGCAAGAGCGGCAGTGAAGGTGATGATCTCAAGTCCCAGAAACGCCGCAGTGATGCTATCACCAGGCAGCTGCAAAAGGACAAGCAGGTAAGGCCAAGAATTGGGAAAAAATTACTAACCCGACAATTGGAGTCTTCAATAGATAAGGAATCCTCTGATCGATCGCCTTTCGTACTCCTGTATATCTATGCGAACGCTGTTTCGTCTCTAGACCCCACTGAAAATTAGCTTGGTAATGCTGTTGTATGTGTGCAGAATGGGAGTCCTAGCGTTACTAAAGTAGGTTTTAGTTTAAAAATTAAATATAGAAAAAATGTTTATTTGGAAACCCAACAACACAAAGTAATGTTGAATAAATACTTTACAATGGTCTGAGTCAAAGTTTGAAGCGGAATTTTTAGCGGTGCTCTCAGACTAAAGTTATATTCGTCTGCCTGGAGATGATGTTCGGACGTGGTAAATGGCTTCCGCGGGTTTGGAGTGCCTTCTGCAATCGCCACGATCTTTGTTCTATGACGCTGTAAAGGCCAGCTGCAGCCACAACAACATCAGTGTAGCTGTACTAATAGCACGGAAAATAATGGTAATGGAGTGGTGCTCTAGCTGCTAAGGGCAGGGTACACTGGTACCCTGCCCATGGTGACATGCGCAGGTTGTCATAACTAGTTTACTAGGAATTTAACACCGATAGTTGCACGGCGAGACCGCGTTGTATCGATCTGATATGGTACATGGATTGGATTGGATCAACTAGTACCTATGGCTAACCGTCTCCTTTTACCTCACAAATTCTTCCTTCTCTATCTGTTTTCTCTGCCTATCCCAATAGAGAGTCATATAGCGCGAAGCATAGGCATTTTTAGTGTTGGGGTCAGCATATGTCGTTGACAGTTAATTAAGTCTGTGACCACCCCGTCTGGGATAACAGTCGTAAAGGCACGTTTTTGTTATTGGAAATATTGTTAATTATTTTACAATGCTTCCGTAGATTTTCACGACTACGAAACAAACACTAGTTACTGAATTAGCATAATTATTTTGTTTATTTCCGCTAGCATTGTAATGTGTGGGACTACAAATAGTTAGAACCGAGGACTGTCCAATTTGACTAGAAACTCCATGGTCTTCATTTAGAAAAATGTTGGACCAATCATAATTTAAGCCCAAGTGAAGCTGAGCTTGTGATATAGGATACTAGAGAACTGATACAAATACGTTCATACATTATTTTATAAATATATACGTTAACACCCAGACAAATACGAACAATCATACATATTGATACAAATGTGGAAAGAAACCCGCAACTTTCGGAAGTAAGGCGGTATGCTAAACCACTAAACCATCGAGGCCGTTATAAATGAACAAATATCCATTCATTCATTCGTAATTTAAAAGCCACGCTCTTGTAGGTGGACATCTTGCCACCTCCCATGATCTTCCATCATCCTATTTAAATGTTGATACGACACGTCTCCAATTTTGTTATTAATTTGCCTGATGTAACTGTGTCTTCTTCTCCCTTCTTTCCTTCTATTTTTACTTCAATAGAAGTATATAATAGAAGAATTAATAGTATAACACATTTACTTGCAGCTGTATCGCGCGACGCATCGATTGCTACTACTGGGCGCGGGCGAGTCCGGCAAGTCGACCATCGTGAAACAGATGCGGATCTTGCACGTGAACGGCTTCTCGGACAAGGAGCGCCGGGAGAAGATCGAGGACATCAAGAAGAACATTCGAGATGCGATACTAGTGAGTGGGCATGTTTTGATTTAGTTAGTAGGAATGGTGAGAATATTTTTACCGTTAGACTGCCGAGAGAAGCGATCGCGCTTCCTAAATCAGTTACCGTTTAGCGAAAAACAGATGTGATTATGAAATGGACAATTTTTTGAACAGTTACAGATTCTTTGGCAATTTTAGTCATACATGAATAAAAACCAATGGCGTTCAAAACGGTTAAAGAAAATATTACATATGAATGTGGATGGTTATAAGGACAGAGGAAAACCGAAATAGAGATGGATGGACTGTGTGAAAGATGATATGGTAAGAAAGGAAGTAAATAACGAACTGAACGGAGATGAATGGAAGAGAAAACATGTTACGCCGACCCCAAATAAATGGTATAAGGAAGAAGCAGATGATGATGTGACTGATTTTTGTTTGATGATAATCGCAATCTTGGGCTCAGGAGGTAGCCATAATTGTGACTTTTATGATATCACAAACTATTGCATAATTTGATGGTTTTTTTATATAAATATATTAGTGGTGCTCGTGGCTTTACCCGCGTGTACATGTTGTATATGTTGTCTATTGACTATAATCAAACGACAAAAATATTTATAAACACAAAAACTTTTTTTTTATTATCCAACACCATTTGTTATCTATACTCATATTATAAAGAGGTAAAGATTGTGACTTTTTAAGTTTGTAGGGGTGAATTCTGGATTTTCTGAACAGATTTTGAAAATTCCTTTACCAATGGAAAGCCACGTTATTTTTGAGTGTCATGGGCTATATAATATCATGCTGACCAATATGAGTGGAGTTGCAATGAACAATATAAGAACTAGGAAAATGTGACGCAAACGACTTTGCGTGTCGGTGTCAACTATTATTATTAATAAATTATATAATTATATTAGATGTTGTATTTAAAATTATTAAGAAAATATACTAATTTATCTCTTTTGTAATATTTTTCTAAGAGTTCTTTAAGATATATGTTTACCCACAATTAACAACAGATCAGCATCGTGGCATTAGCTCTTTAGAAATTAAAAAAAAAAATGTGAAAATATAGCTATTTAATATTTACATATCCTACGTTACAGACAATCACGGGTGCAATGAGTACCCTGACGCCTCCTATACCGCTTGAGAAACCGGAGAACAAGGCCCGTGTGGATTACATACAGGTAATAATTAGTTTTCAATTACTTTTTAAATTTTATGGCCTAATTGAAATTCTTATTTTTTTGTTTCCCAGAATTTTTATTTGTAGCTAGTCAAAATATACTTTGAAAATTATATTAAAATCATAATCTATACTGGACGATATTTTGCCTTTCGAAAATTTTAAGCAAGTGCGTTATATATGTATAATTTATAAAGCACTTGCTTGATGAAATTTTGTTTGTCGCCAGTCAAAATATACTTGAAAATTATTTTAAAATCGTAATCTATACTGAAAGATATATTGCGTTTCGAAAAAAATTAAAGGAAGTACGTTATATATGTGTATTATACATAGTTAAATTACATTGAAAATAAATATTATACTAAGTAATTTGAATTTTCTCTAAAAATACAGAGAAAATAATAATAATAATTGATTTATTTGTGAATGATTTTGGGTACGTACTTACATAAGTAAGTACGTACCCAAAATCATTCATTCGAAGATCGTCCGTACAAATACATAAAGTAAATAAAAATATATTTTTCTATCAATCGAATCATTTTCGTGTAGCTTTGGTTTCTTCAGCACTATAAACAAAGACATTCGGTAAACTGTCATAACCTGCGGAGATAACGGTTCTGAGCTAGTTTACATCATTTTGACTTTGTGAAAATTAAAAAAAATTAAAAAGTTTAATCGTCATTTTTTTTAAAGTTAGCATAGACTATCATAGAGAATGGAGTTTAAAAACGACGCGGTCAATTTGAGAATATAACAAATACTAATGTAGGTTTATATGTCACAGTTTTATTTGGTACACTACATGACGCTAAAACGACCTAGGAGTTCATATATGCTCAGCTAAAGTGGCTATTTTAAACTTTCCAGTCTGTTACAGAGGTAATTTTAAATTGCCAGACACTTCTTAAAATAATGTTAACTTCATATCTCCAGTGCCATAAATGTATTAGACGGGCCGCAAAAAATTGAACCTTACACCCGAGCTCAATAAACAAATATAAAAGTTCACACGGCGCATATATAGATAGCGTTGTTGTGATAATATTCTGTGAATTAACCTCATTGCATTTTTAACCGACATGGAAATTTGTGTTTATCTTTTATTTATTTACACAGACAGCGGCCATTGTTCATTTCATTATTTCGTATTAAATTACGATTTTTTTGGAATTTCGTATGGTATATCTATTTATTCAGGCCCATATTATAAATACCTTATAATATACATATAAATTATAAAATTATAAATATTATAAAACTTATATATCGAAATTCACCGACGACGGTAATCTGTCACGGTAGCGTCGATATACCACACCCTTCGGCCAGTAGTCCTCCCAGCATGTTGTTGGAGAGTGGCTGCTCCTGCTATATGTATATGAAGTAGGACAGTTTGTATGGGAAAATAAAATTGTTATTTTCACTAGATTCTATGCAATTTCTTCATATTTTCTCACCACTTAAACCTTCCTTGGAGTTGTAAAAATAAATAAAAACCAAAATTGGACAAATCTGTCCAGTTCTAGAGTTTTAGTGAGGCTAACAAACATCGTTTAATTTTTGTATATAAGATATAATTAATATTTAACAGTATAAAAGAGTGCAAAACAAAATCATCAGATGGAATAAAAACTATTCCAGAGTAAATGACTGGATGTTACCTTATTTACTGCAATTATTTCTCCTAAACTATAAAACTGACGAGCATTATTCACTCTGAGTAATGCACCTAGGTCAGTGTTCCGAGATGGTATACAGATAAATCGGTCACTCAATATGTCGGTATGTCACGGTCAAATGAATCATCATACGATGTACTTTGGTAAATATTTGTACATACTAAAACAGTAACAAATCTTGGAAAAAATTTAACAGTTATTTGGATCATGTTTAAGTTTAAATGGTTGGTATAATTTTGTTTATTTCCCTGTAATTGTAGACGCGCAGTCTGGTAGAACGTTTAGCGTCAGTCGTATAAGCTACGCCCGATTAATTGGCTGACGATGGCATGTTGAAATGCGAATATTCCGCTCTTATATAGATGTAACTATAAATATTTATTCTTATACTACTATTGAATGATGGGCGTACATAGCTTCTGAGCCAGCAGAGGGTAAGGGGGGAGGAAACGAGTTTTTTTTATAGTGGATGATAATGGAATGGTTTACCCGCCCGCGCTAACGGTTTACTCTGGCGGAGCACCAGTGGAGGATGATAAGATGAAAATGAGGTCAGGTCGGTTAGTCCAACGTGAGGAGGAGGAGAGTCAGATTATGCTATATATTGTGGACATTTGCTTTTATTACATTGGTAGGATTAGCACAAGGATTCACGGTACTCTACTACTGGCCTAGGTATTTTTAACGAGTGAATATGGAATAGTTTACGGTATAGGCACACGGGGCTCCAATTTCAGATGATGAGATGGAAGATGATATCATCTGGAATTAATCATGATAGTTTCCAGGGGGATAAACTGGAGGTCGAACTGATAGAGTACGTTGCTAGGATTGGGGCCTCTAGGTCCCGTTACTAATGGCAGATGTTTAGATGAAGACGAATTCATCTGGAAATGACCGGGATGGTGTCTAGGGGGATATAGTGGAGCTCGACCTGATAGAGTAAATTGCTAGCAGTGGCAATTCGGGAGAGCCAAAACAGCATCCTTACAACTGTTGCGAGTATACCTGATTGTCCGCTCCAGAGGCACTGGATATCGTTGCATTGTGGACCCAGTGCTTCTGGACGTGGACACAGATATATGAATTAAATATATCTCTGTATCTGTATATTATAAGTTACTAACATAGTGTTATAAGTTTTTACTAACACTTTTTTTAAACACCTTTCTTTGTCACCACTTGTACTTACTGTATCGTTATTGCCTTGATGACAGGACGTGGCGTCGCAGCCCGACTTCGACTACCCGTCGGAGTTCTACGAGCACACGGAAGCGCTGTGGAAGGATCAGGGTGTGCAGCGCACGTACGAGCGCAGCAACGAGTACCAGCTCATCGACTGTGCCAAGTAGTGAGTAATATTTTCTTTATATAATTCGTATGGCAAAAAAGCGTGTATCTCTGCATCGCTCAGTGATCGAATTTCGACCATAATTACTTTGAATTATAAGTTAATTCATTACATTCAGTAAGAACATAGACGAATTAAGTGTACAGAAAAAAAAACTAATTAATGAACAAAAAGAGTGCATATGAGTGTGTGTGTGTGTGAAATACATAGTAGTGTGTGTAATTTTATTTATGTGCATATGCATAATAAAAAAGAAAAATGCATTCTGCACTTCTTCAATATATAAATTATATGTGTGCCAAACATACTGCTTCGTTTGCGTAATTATAAAGTTTTTGCTTCACATATTAATATATAGATATCACCCATTTTTTTAATTATGTAGAAAATGTCTTTGGCACGAGTAATTTGTCGATTATGGGCCAACATAAATTCACAAACTTTCCATCTTTATAATATTAGTATAGATAAAAGAAGGTATCCACACTCACAAACTTCCGCGTTTATAATATTACCTTATTAAGGTGTTAAAAAATATTTTCCAGTTTCCTGGACCAGGTGCATATAATAAAGCAGCCGAATTACACGCCGACGGAGCAGGACATACTGCGCTGCCGAGTGCTCACGTCCGGCATATTCGAGACGCAGTTCGTCGTCGACAAAGTCAATTTCCAGTAAGTACATTTTATATTCTCAATGCATGCTCTGCCTTAAATAATTTTCTATGTTACCTCTATGTTGATCGTAATGCGAGTTGTTTGTTTACTGTTTCCTAAGTCGTCACTTCTGCAAAAATATCAAATTCAAACTTAGAATTGTTTTAACGTAGGACCTTTCCCTATTGTGCACGTCATATTTTTATCATTATTCATACCTTCCTTTACGGCTGGCTATCTCAGTTAACACATTGACGGACAGCAGGAACAAGTGAAGTTCGAAAATTAACACTATGTTTTTTGTAATTTTTAGAATATTAGAAGTTGTTTAGTTTTACTTTTTCTGCTTAAACAACCTTAATTTTGACACAATTCGAGAGAAAACACAATCGCACTACTCCCTTCACAACTACGTGCGTACTAAAGCTGCAAGTCGTGTGGAAAATAAAATTAAACTTAAAAATTGTTTCCAAAACACGAAAAGGCTTCTCAGTGTCCAAAAACGACCGTTTTACTTTAGATGGCTATTGCGGCCACGTAGTGAACTTCGTTTTGACGGCTATAGACGCAAGTGTCCGTCAACGTGTTAAAAAGAACTGGCAACAACCTCAAATAATACACTTTTTTGGTACTATTTTTAGACAGTTTAATATTTAAATATTACATTGCATTTATGTTGTATATGTGTCTAACATATTACTACGACCTTTTTCTGGACAACACCAAAAAGTTATGTGTGAAATAAACGTTTGTAGAATGATATCAATTTCATAGACCAAATCAAAATCATATGTAAAGTATACTAGTTACGCACAATATTTTTTTTACTAATATCCCTGCTATTAAATTTAGTTATCTACTTGAGTTGAGAAGAAGTGATAAGAAAGGTACATTTTTTAAATCAATCTTTATCTTTAAATAAAATAAAACAGATTAGTCCTTCATTCATTAAATATTTTCGATAAATATATATGATCCCCATTTGTGGAATATATTTATCGAAAATCGCGTGCATGTCATACACGGTGGTCTCTCAATATCGCTATAAGGGGTGTTGGAGACAGAGGTCTTTTTATAGCTGTTTCTTATTTTGAACCGTATTTTTTTTTAAATTTTTAACATATATATTTTTCAACATTGTTTTTCTATTGTATTGTCTTAAGTGATAACACTACACACTAAATATATTACTATAAGATTGGTAAGTTATTTATTTATTTTACCCTACTATATTCACTGCCGTTGCCAGCCGTATTAAGGGGTGAAAGCGAGATCCCCGATTGTCCCTAATCCCGAATTTGGAAATTTTGTTGAAGTTGGTGTTTTAGGAGGTTGAAATTAACAGTTCGTGTATAAACCATTTCACAGTTACAGATACAATCCTAGTTTCACTTTCGCATTTATTCATAACTAGCTGTGCCCGCGGTTTCGCCAGCATTAAATTTATAGCCTATATGTTATTCTGATGTATAAGCTTATTGTAAAGTTTCAACAAAATCCGGTCAGTAGTTTTTGCCTGAAAGAGTAACAAATATCCATCCATACTCACAAAATTTCGCGTTTATAATATTAATAATATTGTAATAGAATTGTTTATAAACATAACATATTAAAGGTCGTCCTATGATTGATTTGATACTGTTTAGGATCATTATTAAAAAATTTAAAAAATAACATATAAACTTTCATCCTCTATTTCAACCTCTCAAGTTGAAATACGGAATGAAAGTTTTAAATATAAATAAAATGAAAAAGGTGTCGTACTAGTTTTCTTCTTAAAATCTGATGTAGAACTCTTTCAATTTAAAAATAGGAACATCGTCTTACAAATTTCAACCCCTATTTGCTTCGAGAGGATGAAGTTGCCGAAATATTTCTGTCTATCCATCTTCCTTGATTATATGTAGATACAAAGCATACATCACGCACACATGACTTGATAGTGGTGTGATCGCCATACTTAACTATCAGGGAGTGCGGAGTCCATCTGTTTCGGTCATACCATTGCTCAGATAATTAAAACATCCAGTAATTAACAACAAAATCAGGTTTCATACAAGTTTTTGACCTTAATTAATTGACAGTTATAAAAAGTGTATGTTTATAATTGGGTCAATGTTATCAGCTAATTATTCTATGTTTTATGTTTGAAAGTGTTTTTTTTTTTATTGATTTCTATCCGTTATCGGTAGGTTTAGTGTTACTGATGTCTGAAGTAAAAACTAATTGATTAATTAGTGTTTGGAATGCGAGTTTATGTTTTAATGCGAGTTCAATCTATATTTTAGTAGGTTTGGATGCTTAGCACAGAATCGTATTGAGATCAAATCGAATTTGCTTTGAATATTGTTAGTATAATAATTTTGTACAATATTTGTAGTCATCTAAAATGAACAAAGTTTTGTTACTTACGAGATTACTGGGTAACTGAATATATAAAATCTTTCCGTATATTATAATTTATATAGGCACCGTAAATTTTCGTGTTTTAATACAAAAATTGAATCTAAGGATCGGGATAGAACCCTGCTAGATTTCATTTTTTTTTACGCGAGATTTGGGAATTTGTGAATGGCTGACATGACTTAAAACACAATATATAAATTTACTAGTTGGCCCGCACTACTTCGCGTACATCACACATACTTGATATTTATCATTATATTTCGCTCAATCTACATAAAATCTTTTAAAATTATATCCTATATGTTAATCTGATGTATCAGCTATTGTTTGTAACACAACTTTGTGTGTAACAACATATATATATAAATAATAAAAATTAATTATTTTAGATTTGGTATATATTTTATATAGGTACGTGAACTATCATCGTTACACTACATTGAAATCAATAACAATTATATTAAAAATAGAAGAAGAAAAAGTTATGTCATAGACAGCTATATTACTGTAAAGTTTCATTAAAATTGATTGAGTGGTTTCTGCGTGAAAGAGTAACAAACATTCATCCATACTCACAAAATTTCGCGTTTATAATGTTTTATAAAGATCGATGATTTCTTTAAAGTTCTGAAGGTATATTTCGTATGTATAACAGAAAAACAATTTATTTCTTTTCCAGCATGTTCGATGTGGGTGGCCAACGCGACGAGCGACGTAAATGGATCCAGTGCTTCAACGACGTAACGGCGATCATATTTGTGACGGCGTGCTCCTCGTACAACATGGTGCTGCGGGAGGACCCCACGCAGAACCGCCTGCGCGAGTCGCTCGACCTCTTCAAGAGCATATGGAATAATAGGTAATTATTATTTAATCGAATTAGGTATTATTTTGCGGAAGTCCATTTCACTACTCGATGGATTTATTATTTTACTACAATTAGCATGTGGGAGACCACAAATATTCGGTGTGGAAACTTGACTATCGTTACGACTTTCTTTAATGGCGAAATAGGGTGTAGACTCAATAACGGTCGGAATTTGATCGCCATTAGAGAAGGTCGTAACGCTAGTCAAGTCTCCACTTTTGAATATTTGTGGTCTCACACATGATACTTGTAGCGGAATTAAACAACAAGTAGTGATATGGACTTCCGCAATTTCTACCTATTACTGGTAATTATTGTTTTGTTATAGTGATGAAGTTAGAAACTGTACATAATACATACATGAATTGTGTCACTTTCTTTTCGTTTCCATGATGTTGTAAGAGCCGACTATAGGCATAGCGTACAATACGCCAGAGTAAATAATTTTTTTTTTCAATCTAACGCTCATTCGGAATTCTCTGTCATCGCAAGAATAATGAGCTGAAATTTGGGTGTTGCTCTTTTAAATGTTCGTTGTAAATTTACATTTTTAATTCGAAATGTTGGAATACAAACTATCTATATAGGATATGATTAACTTAACGAGAACTACCACCTCGTGTGAAGTGTGTGTCTCAAGTGTTACTATACCGGAGGATGTGTTGCATCCGTACTCTGTATTCACTGCTTTGTTTAACCGCGTTTCAACCGAAACATATGTTATAAAGATAGCTGTATGCCGACTGAAATAGGTGAAACGAAAAATATTCGCGCAAGCAGACTTCGTACAAAGTCTGTTTCGGTTAATTATTTAATATACATAGAAAACACCCAGACCAATAGAGTCATACTTATGACAACAATCATACAAATGATTATTTCGAACAGGCACCGTCGTAAGGCTACATTACTTGAGCTGTGAAATGCCAGTAACCGGGTGCTTGTACTTGCAGGTGGCTGCGCACGATATCGGTGATCCTGTTCCTGAACAAGCAGGACCTGCTGGCGGAGAAGGTGACGGCGGGCAAGTCCCGGCTGGAGGACTACTTCGCGGAGTTCGCGCGCTACCACACGCCGCCCGACGCCGCCCCCGACCCCAGGGACGCGCCCGACGTCGCCCGCGCCAAGTACTTCATCCGCGACGAGTTCCTGGTACCGCATCCTTTATTTATGGACTACTCTAATGATTTTTACCTTTACAGCTTCAGTGCATATGGAACTCCAAACCAAAGGAAGGACTTATGGACCCGCTCCAGTGCAAGTCCCGCCTGACGGATACGACTTTAGTCTGAGAACATCTCTAGGAGTACAAACCTCGGCCTGGGCCGTCGTAATTTCGGTCCCTGTTTGATTTTCACTTTTTCAAACTATCGTAATGCTAACCTTTACTAACGATACCACTCATGCACTAAAAGGTATCACATCGATCTGTTGGCATGTCCTGAGGCGTCGAGTAATGATTTTACGCAGAATGCATACACTTTTTCAAACTATCGTAATGCTGTTGGCTATAGCTGGCCATTTTAAAGGGTCTACGACCACGGCCTAGGACTGGATTGGAAGGGGTGTTAGGGCGGTTTAGAAAATTAAGAGCCCCGGAGAAAATTGAGATCCAGGGCCGATACCACACATTCGTTCCCCTTCCGGAGTATTATAATGTTATACCTACTACTACATACACATCATAATGCTGACCTTTACTAGTGATACCACTCATCCGTTCCAATTCTAGAGACTAAGGACTATGATGTTAAGCCTACTATTTTTTTATAATAATAAATAAAAATATGCCTACTAAACATACACATGATAACCCTATGCTTTACTTGTAATACCAATTCATGTCCGTGACAAGGTCATGGTGCGACACTCGCTACTACACATATTCTTCTCTAATGTTACCACACATTCAATGTCATTCCAGAGGACTATGATGTTATGCCTACAGGCATGCTAATATATAATATACCTTGTTCGAACAGCGTATCACCTGTTATATTACGGTCACGATATGATTGTAGTGGACAGAGACCGTTAATAAATAATATACCTCGTTGGAACAGCGCATCAGCACTGCGAGCGGCGACGGCAAGCACTACTGCTACCCGCACTTCACGTGCGCCGTCGACACCGAGAACATCAAGCGCGTGTTCAACGACTGCCGCGACATCATCCAGCGCATGCACCTGCGCCAGTACGAGCTGCTCTAACGCGCCCACACGCACCGCCGGTATGTCACACTCCTCCCTCTAGAGCCAGTACGAGCTGCTCTAACGCGCCCACACGCACCGCCGGTATGTCACACTCCTCCTCTAGAGCCAGTACGAGCTGCTCTAACGCGCCCACACGCACCGCCGGTATGTCACACTCCTCCCTCTAGAGCCAGTACGAGCTGCTCTAACGCGCCCACACGCACCGCCGGTATGTCACACTCCTCCCTCTAGAGCCAGTACGAGCTGCTCTAACGCGCCCACACGCACCGCCGGTATGTCACACTCCTCCTCTAGAGCCAGTACGAGCTGCTCTAACGCGCCCACACGCACCGCCGGTATGTCACACTCCTCCCTCTAGAGCCAGTACGAGCTGCTCTAACGCGCCCACACGCACCGCCGGTATGTCACACTCCTCCTTCTAGATGAGGACATCGAGCCATGTTTAACGACTGCCGCGACATCATCCAGCACATGTACGAGCTGCTCTAATAGCTCAGCCGCCGCGGTATATGAAATATTGCTATTATTCTGGCTACTTATATGAGCTTTGGAATTTTATTGTATTTTAAGTACTATCCCTCTATAATCTCCGTTTTTAATCAATCATACGCAAGAATATAGGACAGTTTAAGAAATATCTAAATTGTATTTTTTAGTAATAATTATTTATTTGAAATGTGCAATTTCATTAAATTATATAAAGAATAGTGAAAGTGAATAGAATAATTCACATATGTATTTGCATGTCCATAAAGACTAAAAGTGAGCTATATAACTTACATAAGATTACTATCTACTATGTACCACTTTTATCAGAAATAAATTTCATTTCAATCTAAATAAGGACTATGTGTTTGCAGACAAAGTCAATAGAAGCATGAAATTAGCACTAAATACATATTTTAAGTATAATTAGTAAATCACGGGATCTGTAGTGTTTCAACGGCCATGATCACGGGTAAACTAATGACCGTGATTTACTAATTATAGTTATAAGTAATGACAGCATCAAACTTAAAACGTATTTTAAGTACTTTTAATCCCCATTTAATTTGAAGATTTCAATAAATCTAAATGAAGACTTTGTGTTTGCAGACAAAGTCAAGAGAAGCGCATAACGAGTACCGCCGGCGGCGGTCCCCGACCTCAACCATATGACACCAATGTCCGAACACGGCACAGCAATATTTACACATGAATTATATTTGTTGTTGTACAATACATGTATTACTATAACTATTGTGGCAGCTTTAGACGGTGACAATGTGACGTCAGAATCTTACATTAACAGTAAGCATCGTTTGAACACTTCGCGTCAATTTGTCGTGTTACAATGTACGCGTCTATTTCCTTCGAGCCGGTATTAGTGATGTGCCACTCGCATATTTTACGCCTATCGATAGTCTATTCGAAAGACCGGTCTACTCTGGATTTCAGTCCATTGTACAGTTCTTTTTTCAAATGTAGTTAGTATATTGACTACGGTATATGGAATTAATGTTGCTTTTTATTATCCAACAATATTGGAATTAGTTTCCAGAGTAGATTGATCGGGCGCTACACAACTAGCGCCGTTTTAACGACTGACTTACGATGTGGATTGAAGCCAGTCGGATAGGTTGATAGTATTGGCACCGCATGTTTGTCGCCGTGTAACGCGGCAATAAGGAGCGGCACGCGCCAGTATACAGTTATATCAGGTAGGATAGTGATTATTCAGATTTATTAATCTTTCTCTAAGTGTCTTAGAAAAGGTTTGTCACAGTTTTGAAATGTTTTTATACCACTTTTCTATGTTATACAAAGAATTTCCTATTCTAATATCAATTTTCAATTTGTTAAAATATATGACATTTTTAATCTTTTTTTTTTCTTAAAATGTAAGTATACATAATTTTATATATACCTATTTTTATTGTATTAGGTATAACAATATTTAGACATGTGAAAACAAGTCAAAACTGTGATGCGTATTGATTCAATCCTGATTATGCAGTACACTTGTGCGCCGTCCCCTCCTCCGTGGTCTTAAGTCTATAGACAACTGGACCACACTTACTGTGATTTCTATTACATGGAAGGCATCGGTCGACATTTTACTAGTATATACAATAATAAATATATTTCACATATCGAATGACAAATATTAACTATTGTTTGATAAAACATGTGCATATTTTTTTTTATAAATATGCCAATTAAGTAGAGTCAATCTCCCACCTGATGGAAAGTGGTATATGTCCTTTAATTATCAATTGGTTGATTTTTATTGTATTAAAAAATGAAATATAGAAACCAAAGATCTCACAATATTTTTTTTTCTATAAAATATTTCGAACTTAGTCTTGATGTTGTACGGTTATTTTCTATTTATAAATTATCGAGCGATGCCTTCGTTAGCCCAAAATGTCGATTGGATGGTGTTTCCGAACGGTTTCGCCGTTCCCGATACTGGCAACTATTCGTCGATTATTTATAATGTAATGCGCTTCACTACGTTCCAAATTAGGATGATCGAATGAAAGATCGAATCTTTTTTTATTTCGAGTTTAATGTAAGCGCAAGAATTGTATCCATAGAGCTTTATTGTTTTTGAATTATATAAAAATGTTGTTTATTGTTCTTAATATTTTAGCGGTCGTAGTGAGTGCCGTCGATGAAGACAGCGGGTCCTGATAGGTTGTGACGACTGTATGACTTGTATCGGTATAGTGCCAATCGCGAATATCCTACGCGGCCGGTTTTCAAAGACTTACTATAATTTTATATTTCTACGACAAATGTGATTAGCCTAGAAATGTGAGAGTATAGTCAGTTCACATGAATCCAAAGGTAGTGTAATCTTAAGCTGCCAGGTAGAGGTGACTGTTGTCTCAGCCGCGCGTGTTTGCGCGACGTTTTCTAGCTAATTGCTTTATTTTTCTCGAATGCGGTGGAATTATATAGAGATATAAAAACGAATAACGTTAAACGTATGTGTATATGCATTAGCCGTGCTCTAACAGGCTGGAGGTAAATTATATGAGGTGATTTTGTTTTTTTTTGTATTTGTATATTTTGAATTTTTTTTTTTTTAATTTTACGTAATATAAGTTTTAAACACAAAAATATTTTCCGAAGTAGGTGTTCCATACTTGTAGATAATTCCATGCAATATTTATTGAGTAATAAGTGTGATAGTCAGAACATTGCGTTAACACTAGCATTATTACTATAGAATTTCAAAGGCAGTTTAACAACCTTTTTTTTCTACATAGTTATTATAACTTATATTGTTTTTTTATATAGTTTTATTATTCCACACACAAACCTTTAATATTCGACGGCGTTTTTTTTTTCTTAAACTATTTATTTTATATTCACAAAAACTGACATGAATGTCAGTATAATAAAATCAGTAAAGGTTACCTCATAAAATGACTCCAGCCTTTTATATAAACCACTGGCAGCTAGTTGGCGGCCGACCCTCGCGGTCAACCATTATTTATATTAAGGATCATCATAACATGGTCATTAGCGGCCGTCGACAAATTACGTCACACGTTAAGGATAGGGCCCCTCCCTATCCTATTGACAAAGTGTGATAAAGTATGACATAGTGTGATGAGGGATAGGAACGGGTCCTAAAATTAGTTTTACATTTAAAAATCTAATGTAACCAAGTATAGAACCGCGAAATTTGAACTATTAACCAAAAATATTTTAACGTCATATACTGGTTTTACTAGTGTATTGCAAAATATGTGACGTCAAAGGCAAAGGAAGTGTCATAAGTGTGACCAACTGTGACAAGAACGGGGAAGAGTTAAAGAAATCATGAAATTCATGTGACGTAATTTGTAGACGGTTTCTTGCCCGAGGCTAGTTATTTTCTTCTGTAGATATAAGCTTCTTGAAATAAAGAAGTCTTTCCCTTTCAATTAAGCAATTATTTTAATTATGCATATCACTTGTATATTATGCTCAAATTAGACGGATCTTTCGTTTATTTATTTAATGGCTTTGTCCCTATAATATACAGGGTGAAATTGAAATGTTAGAGACATATAAGAAAAATGTACACATTGCAAACATTTGTATTCATGAGTATGATTGTTTGCATCGGTCTGGGTGTTTTCTATGCATATTATGTATTTAAAAAAAAGTTGTTAGTACACATATCACAAGCTCTGCTTACCATGGTACTAGATGACGTTGTGTTAAGTGTCCAAAGTTATTTTTATTTATTATTATTTATATAATAAAAACATATATTTATGAACAAAGGTAACCTTGTATATATATATATATACATATATTTAATGTTGATTGCGAAAAATGGCCACTAAATATTAAATCAATACATATATGGTTAAAGTAGATGTTGCAATAATATAATTATAAGATAATTAAAACAGTTTTTTAACATAATTGGACGTGAAATAGTGTTTTGCCAGACGTCAAGATGATCAGATCGTTATTATGAGTCTTTAAATGACTCATTACTACATTAAATTAATCTAAATCTTTCTTATTTTAATTTATTGTGCTATCATATTTAATACAAAAATGCAATTTACAGTTATTCCAATTTGAAATTAAAATACAAGATGTAAAACATATTATGAAAGTTTATTATGGACAATTTTAAAGTATATATTGTATCAAGGTTTTACTTGAATTCACTTGAATGCGCATTCACTTTATGATGATGAATTCGTGACGTACCTACACCTCGTTTTACGCAGTTTCTGTGATTCTACATAACACCAGGACTTCTTTATGCCAAACGGATTTGTGGCGCGTTTGCATTATAGCATACATAATTTATACGGTATTTTTTTATGAAATAACAGTAATAGTATCATGAAATTTTAAATGTACATGTGTATATTCATTAACAGAGGTTATATTTATTCAACTTATTAAAAGAAATCCAATATTTTAGTTTGTCAGGAGTATTTAATGTGAAAACGCGGGTTGTTTAGTGGTGTTCGGATTAAAAAAGTTCTGGTTTATTGGAATAATACTAATTGAAACAATCAATTTGACCCTGTATTTAATTACTGAGACAAATATCAAATTGTAGCAAAATGTACATCTCGTTTTCGGTAGAAGAGTCTTTATTTAATATATAGAAAAAACTTCTAGAAAATTTGTTATGTCTGTATATTTTTGGTTAGGGATGCGGTTATTACGTTTCTAATTGCATATATTTTGATGTGGTTTATATTTTGACGGTTGTAGCCCGTTGCGCCGCTATCTTTACAATTATTAAGTTTATTTTAGTTTTTATCGACGCGTCTTCCATTTTACCTATAGTCAATTTTCGTTTTAATAATTGACATAGTGTTTTAGCACAATTTATGACTATAATATATATATCGCTTGCTATAGTTTTAACTTAGGTTATATATTTTTATGTCCCGAGCTTTGTAAGTCCCAAAGATGCCGTATTTGATACGGGCTTAGAGAGAATCCTTCTAGCAGTATTTTGTAATGTTCTAATGATTTGATTTCTAGTTGTAAACGTTTTGTTTTATAAGTGGACACAACTTGTAGCGTGTAAGTTCAAGATGTAACTAACAGTCCCTAACGTGGCTAATAAATTATAGTTATTATTATTGTTTATGAAATTGGTTTATGTACTTATCGTGTTGGAACATGGATGTTATAAAAGATCTATATTTTTTATTTAGTTCAATACAATGATTTCTTGTTATAATTTTTTTATTTTTGAATGGTTTATTTTTATTGCTATCGGATGGTATTCGGTTATACGAGCTAATACGAATGTTGGATGTACATCATTATAATGTTTTGGCCATCCTTAACATGTTGATATTTTAACGTTTTATAATAAATTGTATTAGTGTTTGAAAATGGACTTTGAAGTAATAGCTTTAAAATGCATTTCCAAATAGGTTTTTATTGAGTTAATACAGTTTATTATCAAGCGTTGTATATTTATTGTGTCTACATTGTATGTGGTATACAATTTTTTTTATTTCTGTATAAGCAGACCCGAATCATTCAAAAATAATATTTAGAGAATTAACCACGGTGATGTATAATTGTTATATGTTTAGCTTAATCCGTTTATGGTCCTTAATATAAGAATGTTTATGGTGGAGCTTTGTAATGTGCCATAATGAAGTGTTGCCAG